AATTTTTTTTTTAATTCATAAATACTTATAATGTATTTATTTATTTACTCATTCATTTATTTCTTATTATTTATTTATTTTAATTTAATTTCTACTATTCCAAGTCTAATATTTTTATACTTTTGTTGACACTAACAGCGCATTCTTGACACCTATGTGTCAACTTTCCCATCTAATTGTTATCACTAACGGTGACCGATCTAATTCTCACTAGGAGCGTTTTTTCTATCGGAGTTCTTTTTCACTCACTCTTTAACAGTTCGTTTCTAAATTTCGACACGAATAGACGTATTTGTGTAGTAAAACTTATTTTGAAAAATTATTTTATAATCAAAAAATGTCGTCAAGAGAAGCAAGTTCTTCACGTTAATAATTTATATATAAAGTGCTAACAAAACTTTAAGTTCGATTTTCTCGATTATATTTGAGTATTGCACTTTAGTATTTTACAGGTAGTACACTCACATGGTGTACTACCTCTACACCAAAGATCATCAAAATCCGTTTTTCCAAAGCCGTAGGCTCTCCTTGTAAGATGAAATTCAATAGTATTATTAATAAATGTTGTCAATGTAATGCTCATTTTATAATAAATAATAGATGTGTAGATACTGTATATTTTAAATTTTAAATAGCTTTCAAAAAATTCCAAAAATAAGATTTAAAATTAAATTATTTGACAATAAACTATATAAATTACGTGCCTATATATATATATCTATATAGGCACGTAAACAAAGTATTCATAAAACTAGTACATTTTGAAGGAAAATAGTACATTTTTTGAAGGCGCTTCAGTACGTTTTGAAATTTTATTGCGGCAACACTGCGGTAGATACGTTCCGCTTTATAAGAATTTTGTGTTGTAGCAATCCTTAAATACATGAGCCAATCACAGCCCGACACGTGTGAAGTTTACGGATTATGGCTGTTTGAAAGGTTTTCTTACATAAAATTAATCGATTATAGACTAATTCGACTCAATATTTCCAAAATACGTATAATTTTTTGGGAATAATCCGTATAAACCAGGGGTCGGCAACCTTTTGAGTCGGAAGAGCCAAAATTACAATTTACAAAATTTCAAAGTTTTTAAAGAGCCACAAAATTTTTTCTTGCCAACAATAAATAGTACTCGCATAAATAAAGTTTTTTGATATAAAAAACTAATCTATTTATTTATAAGAAAAAATATCTATTTACAGTAGACCCCCCTATAACGCTTAGATACGTTCCACGCTAACCGAAAATTACGTTGTAGGAATGATTAAATACATGAGCCAATCGCAGCCCGATAGGTGGGAACTTTACGGACTAAGGCTGTTCGAAAGGTTTTCTTCTATAAAATTAACCGATTCTAGACTAATTCGACTCAACATTTCCAAAATACGTATAATTTTTTGGGAATAATCTGTATAAACTATGCTATAAACAAAAAATTATAGGATTACTTACCGAGTGTGTACCGTTCGACTACGCCGT